CTGCTAAAAGTATCTCGGCAACAATAATCTACTAGCCAGAACTCTTTTAGTCGAACCCACGCAATGCACATGGTTGCGACTCAAAAGTAATTTAACATTTAGCAACATTCTCTTCTGAATTTCAACTAGAGGATGTTACATATGGTTATGGGGTTAACAAGTTGAACAACACACGCAGAACTCTAAGTAGTATACAACACCAAACCAGCTTAGGCTCATGTAACAAGTCTTTGAGATCTATTTACTAAGCAGCTTTAATTCAAACCTATTCGATCCGACACCGGCACTCAAATAAACTAATTTTGGTCGAAAGTTACCAACAGGTTCTCATTAAAAAAGAAACTCAGACTTTGATTTTTCTAGTGGAACTTAGCCATTGTGATTGCCTAAATAATCAGTATATTCGAAATCTGACATCAGACGAAGGATTAAAGTTGTAAGCTAAGGCGATTAAATCTTAATAGAATTTTTCCTCAGGTCTAACACAAGACACTTTTTTTTAAGAAGCATGAAAAGCATTTCTTTTTCTTCCAATCAAATAAATAATTTGTCTTCTTTTTTTCATTTATTAATTTCAATAGAATATCTTTAATATACACACAACACAACAAGTTTTTTTTTTTTTCATCCTTCATCAATATTTGAGCAACAAATAAGACAAACAGAAGTTCATACTAAACATTTCTATGCTAACAAAAAAAAAAAAAAAGTAAAATCATGAAAGCTAGTCTATATATATATACACACACACACAAAAAACATAAAATGAACTAGAAAATATTTATGAGAAAATAAGCCAAACGAATAATAAACACATCAAAACAGTATAAACATCAAATTTCGCTTAATTAATTCTATCCATTAATATTCACAACACAATATACAAGAGAAAAAAAATGTGTATGTGTATATTTTCAAAGAAAAAGATATACAATCATATTTTATTGTTTTAGAGCTGATGGTGTTGTTGTTGTCGTTGTATGTTTAACAAACATACGACGATCATGATGTGCCCAAACCGTTCTATTAAATTAAAACAAAAATTAAAAAAAAAAACAAAAATTTTTTTTTTCTTATTTATTTTACCGATAAAGAAGAGCAGCAACAATAGCTCCAACTAGTGGACCAATCCAATAAACATAATGATGGTCCCATTGATTATTAAATATAGCTGGACCAAGTGAACGTGCTGGATTAAGTGAACCACCAGTATATGCTCCACTATACAATGAAAAATTCGTTATTTTTTATCTAAAAATTTCTATTCAACTTACACAGCAAGAATATTAACTGCTAAAGTAAATCCAATTAAAAGTGGTGCAAGTCCAGTTTTTGATTTCGTATCAATTGCAACCATTATAATAACAGTAACAAGTACAAATGTAACAATACATTCAATTAAAATTCCCTTTAAGAAATAAATAAATTTTCTATGAAAATATTTTTTTTATACTCAATACATACTTGCCAACCTTGTACAGCATCATCTAAACGAAGTGCTCCTCTAACTGTTGTATTATATGTTGTCAATAATGTTACTCCACCATGACATGTATTATATATTTTTGTTGGAAGTAATAAACGTAAAAGTCCACCAGCAGCAATACCTAATAAATTATTTCTTATCAAATCAAATTAAATTAAAATTTAATATGAAAGTTTTTACCTCCTAAAAGTTGTACAACAAAATAAAGTATTGCCATAATAGGTTGCATTTCACCAGCAATTAAAACACCAATTGTAACTGATGGATTAAAATGAACACCTGATATATGACCAAAACTAGCTGTTAATACCATTAAAGCCAAACCAAAGGATAATGCACTAGCAATTACGCTACCATTTGAACAGGCACCCCACATACCAATAAGAATAAATAATGTTGTACCAATCTAATAACAAAAAAAATAATAATAATAAATTCCAAAAATTTCTTTTTTTTGTTTCATCTACATACAAGTTCAACTAATAATGGTCGAATAACTTGAATAAAGTTATTATTATCCTCAGGATTAATATTAGTATCGACAGTTCTAAATAATGAAATAATTATGCACGCAAAAAGAAGGAAACTTCAACTGACTTTTTAACAACCGTTGTAGTTTCAGTTGGTACAGATACTGAAACAGTTGGATTTGAACGAACGATTTCTTCAGTTGATGATAACATTGGAACGCGTTCACTATGTTGAACTTCGGTGCTCGACATTATTGTTGCTTCTTTTTTTTTTTTTTTTTTTTTTTAAAGATAGTTGGAACGAGAATGTGAATGTAGTGTGTGTGTGCGTGCGCGTATATGTCCGCTTTGCGGTCGATACTGAACTAGTAAAGAGAAAGAAGGAAACAAATCGACGAATGACTAGAGATATTTTTGGAAAAGAAATATGAAGAGAAAGAGAAGAAAAAAAAACCGAGCAGACAGAAAAGGATAATTAAGGAACATATCACAAAAAAATGGCGAAAAAAGAAAGAAAGAAAAAAAAAGAAACAGTAGAGGTGAACTCAGCTAGAACGACACTCCAATCAGGAATTAGTGCAATGGGACTCATTACAACAGGTTTTCTTTTTCTCTTTCTTTTTTTTCCGCAAGCAAAAAAAGCTTCCGCCTCACTACTCTCATTTATTCATACGTTCGGTCAAGATAAGGATGGGAAAAAAAAGTGAATGCATCGAGTACAACTTTAAAAAAAAATAGTACTCATGACAGTTGGTTATAAATGGTGTGTTTAAAAAAAACAGTAGTCACATGATAAATGATGATCATTATTAAAAAAAAAAAAAGAATTATGTTGGCAGTTAGCCAAATTGTCAAACAATATGTAAATAGGGCAAGAATTTAGCATATATGAAACATCTGTACTATGATTATCATTATGAATCTTAATAAAAAATGAATAAACATTTAAGGCCAACATCGAATAATCATCTAGTTGATTTTGCTCCAAAGTATTTCTCCTTGTTAAACATATAACATATACATAGATACATTTTGTCTTCTTTACACAAGAAGAGGTCATCACACGTACAGACAAATATTGACGTTGAATGTGTTATTATTGCCTATCGATTACTGTCATGAATAGGAATATGACCGATGGCAGCAGTGTGGGCTTTAATTGGGAGAAGAGAAAAAAAATTGATTTACGTTTCTTTCTTTCTTTCTTTTTTTTTTTTGATGATCATCTCTCTATCAAAATACACTACATGATTGATTAGATGAATAAATAATAAGCTTGTCATACTTGCTATACTATCATCGATTCTAAAACTAATAATTTTAATAATGAGCATGTCACAGTTTTTGTTTTAATAATTTGTTTTCATTTTATAAATCTAGTCACGTCAAAATAATTTGCTTGAGAATATTTTTCTTTTTCTAATAAGTATTATTTTATCAGACGATATAAGTAAACAAAAAAAAAAAGATCTCTTTGTTCACTTGTTGATTTGTCATGTCATTTTTATGAACGATCGATGATCAATATTAATTGAACAATTGAATTATTTATAAATAGGATCAAATTAAGAATATAGAGAAAATAACAAGAGATGTGATGATGAAACAATAACTACTTGTATCCGTTAAAACATAATAAAAAAAAAAAGGAAGAACAGATGGTATTGATGAAAGACAAAAGAGGATGTGGCCGATCAAAAAAAAAACTAACTGTGATATGATAAATCAGATAACTTATTCTATCCATCATAGTGTATACGTATAAGAAAAGAATGTACCAAAAACATTTCGTTACTTACATTGATTATGTGATGCTAATCTTTTCTTATTATTAGAAATGCTTTCTTCGATAATATAAAGACAAGTATGATGATGCAGACATGCACATGTTCATGTTGATTAGATAAAGATAGGAAACAACAAGAAAAAAAAAGAGAGAGAGACACTTATATGTCATAATATCTTATGAACGACATTTTACATAAATTTTCGTCACGCGCATTCATTGTTCTCTATGTAGTCTTCTATGCAATCAAGGGATAAACGTGTTAATGTATAATAGAAAAATACATAGAAAATCGATCGTTAGATAAACATATTTTTGTTCAAAAGTATCTGTATGTCTGGCTACTTGTATTAACTGATCTTATTTTCGCCTGTAAGGATCAGACAAGAGGTAGATAATTGCTTGTAAATGTATACATATCTACAATCAACAATATGGAAATGTTCTATTAAATTTTTCTGCGAGAAACAAAAGAATGAGATCGAATAACCAGATGTTGATCTATCAAATTTATATATATATATATCATTTATTAAAGAATAATTGAGTAGTTCTGCTTTGTTTTTTTGTATGTCAATAATTGATTAATAAAAACAAACAGTAATATAGAAATGAAGGTAAAAGAAAGTTATGCTTTTAATAAAACACATTTATAATTAAAATGTCAATATCATATCATATTTATGCACATATATATATATATGTCGTCACTATTTATGTGATTGAAATGTTTTTAATCAAGATTATTCTGCTTTGTTATTTATTTCAAACGATAGCTGCCGGTACAGGATATAGTTTTGAGACAACATGTCTATGTATAAAAGCTTCATCTAATGGTACATTTTGTTGAGCATATAAATGTCGATTGGATCGAATTACGAAATGTTTTTGCAAGGTATTTAACTGTAGAAATAAAATTAACAAAAGAACGTAAATCAATGAATAATTTTAAAATAGGTGATCAAGAACTTGTTGATATTAATAATCATAATCAATGTATATATGAACTTGTCTATTCATTTATTCATGCAAGTTCTAATAGATTATATGATTATTTAAAAATTTCAGTAGAAAATATTTCTGAATAATCATTAATCATTTCAAGTAATCATCTTATCTATTATTTTAATGAAAAGAATCTTATTTTTGCTGGAAATTTAAAAATTGGTAATCAATTATGAGTTATATCTAATAATGGATATAAACGAATTGGATCTATTATAAATATTTAATTAAATAAAAGTCAAGGTGAATTATCAATTATTAATTTAATTTAATAAAGAGATCCACTAATGACAGATGATAAAATAATTAATGATACGTGTTAATAAATCATAGAATCCATTCTGAGTCAGTGAGCTTAAAACTGATTATGCCATTATGAAATCATCCGTATCGATGGTGGATCGAGTGGATAGAATTATCATCATATTCTGAATCTATCCATTGGTATTGTCAATGGTTGTATAAAATTGTTGAACAAATAAACAAATAGATCTTCTCGATAGGATTATATGATAGATATTTTAGATTATCAAACTTTTGATAGAATACAAGCATTATATTCTATTTCCAAAAATAAAATGAAACAATTCAATGTACTTTTTTTTCGGACAAATAAAAAAGTCGGAATTTTTTTTT